GGACCCCTCATTTTTATTTCAAAATTTAAGTTCCTATAATATAAACAATCAATAGGCAAAGTTTGACAAAGATCTCAGTGCAGGTTCTATTTCAGTGGAATGACCTTAACTTACAGGCTAACTTATAAAGGTCAGACCAATTCTCTATTTTCCAATTTCCTATAATTCACTCTGTTTGTCCCCAGATTTGTCCTAAACTGGTATTTTTAAATGCTCTTGGGAGATCTGCATATTCCCAAGTTGGCGAGAGAATATGTTAACTACTTTGTTGTTAAGCGCGACTCCTCGGCGAGAACCCACCCCAAAGGACTAAGCAATTCTGATCTTAGGCCAAGTTTTAATAGAGAACGAGGGAATAGACAAAGACATTGGGTTACAACTCACCAAGCACATCAATCCGTCCTTCTACGCTCTCGATTTCTGTTACCAAACTGTTGACGGAGTCTTCACTGCAAACATCCAAGGCTTTGATAAACAGTGTTTCTTCAAGATGCTTTCCAGCTGCCTCTTCTAGTGCATTCTTTTTTTCCAGGTTTCGCATGGTAGCGTAAACCTTAAAGCGTTTGTCAGCATCTGCAGCAAGTATGGCGGCTGTCGACAGGCCGATGCCCGTTGAACAACCGGTGATTAACACGACTCGGGGGCTTCCGTCCGTCTCCTCGGCTAACGGCGGTTGTGACTGCCCTTGCTGCTGCTGCTGCTGCTGCTGCTGGTTAGTAGCTGTGACATTGGTGGATTGCCGGGATACTGTCATTCCCATATTGACACACGGCTAGGTTTCTGTGATTGTTCGCCTATGTACTTCGTCTCCCTTCCTCCGTGACCCGCCGACTCAAGGCAGTAATCCGTTACCATGGTGCATTTGAGATTTTTAACGTGGCTATTTGTAGCTTGTCACGCCATCCTTTTTTTAGACAACATGTTGGCGTCACTTTTAACATTTGATCCAGCTTCCTTCGCTTTCTCTTCAGAAAAAGTGCAAGACTCTTTTTTCTAGTTTTCCTTTGGTTCATCTCCTTGAACTCAGTAGCTAGGCGGTGGGTGGAAAAAAATGTTTGATTTCTCTGTGTAAATAACAATCTTATTATCATTTGCGCCCTGGTTGAGTGATCGCCATTACGCCATCGTAAAGTGGCGAAATTATTCTTTTTGCGAGCAAATAAGATAGTTGTAAGGTCCGCAGATCATATTCTAGTGTTTAAGTGAAAAGCTCTTGTATATTTCAGGAGAATTTTCCTTTTCTGTAACAACATCATTAGCGCCGGAAAGATGATTTAATTACACCCAAACAAAAGCACATTTTCTTTCTAGTACAAAGAAAATGTGCTTTTGAGTTTCATAGGAAATCAATATCAAATACATTCTCACCGTCTATGACCTGTTCAATTCAAATAACACAATTCAAATGTTAGAAATTGGACATAAAAACAACCTGGAGTTTGTCAGTAGCTATTTTTTTTTCCGAGGCATTTTAATGTCATGACTGAATTGTATTATGTTACTACCTCGAACTCGAGTAAACACAGTGTCAGCAATGGGCATGAATTGACTACATCCGAAGAATTTAACGATCTTGAGGGACAGTGTGAAACAATTTGTTTATATAATAATCGATAATTAAAATGGAGCTATGAAGAAATTACGCGATCTGTGGGAGACAAGACGGCGTTGTGATCAGTGCTCTAACTCTGAACCGAACGATCTGGGTTCCAGCCTCGGGCGGGATCAGTGCCTTGTGTTCTTGTGCAAGGCACTTTTATTTATTTTCAACCTTGGTAGCAAGCGCTTCCGTGAGAGAGAAATGTTTCTCGCCTGCTGGTCATGCGAAAATTGGGGCGAGAACAAAACTTCTTCGGAGACGGAGGATCCCATCCAGGGGATAGTAAAAATACTCCTAGTCGCTTATTACGCCAGCTGTATATGTGATACTTGACCCGGCGCAGACTACCTCATCTCATGCAAATGAAAGTGCTATAAATACTTATTTGTTTCTCTTATTTTGACCAAATGTTGAGTCTGGTTCGGAATATCGCGATATAGATGTCACGTCTTAAAGTTTCTGCTTTGTGACAGCCATTCACAGTTTTGATATCATTGGTTAAAAGCGTTCGGTTTTGTTTTTTTTTTCTTTTTCGTTTTGTTTTGTTTTTTTGTATTTGTTACATTTTGCTTGGATTGTAATTTAGTTATTTTTCTTACAGTTTTTCCCTTGCTGTTTCATACGATGTTCAGGTGACAGCCGGAATTTGAAGCTTGATTTAAACCTGTGACATGTTTAGTCGGTCGACAACTACAATGAAACCCCCATGATTATGCGGACCCCCAATTAAGCGGAAACCCTCTATTAAGCGGACACTTAGCCTGGTCCCAAAATTAATGGCCTTTATTTCCCTTTATAATGAACCCCTATTCAGCGGACACCTCTATTAAGCGGACGAGGACACACGGAAATAACAATGTGGCATTGGATTACGTCCTCGAATTAGTCGATTAAATAGTCGATTAAATGTACCGTATTATCGTTGCTGTATTGAAAGGGCATTATTACAAACAAATTAAAGTTGGTAATGAAAGATGATTAACTTGAACTCTGGATAGCTTCGTTAACAACCTGGAACTTTATAACAGTGCAGAGGAACCGTTGAATGTTAACATTGCGCAATTGTTATAAACCTTTATTAAGCGGACACCCTCTACTGAAGCGGACACTTGGGAAGGTCCTGAGGGTGTCCGCTTAATAGAGGTTTCATTGTATCAAGATTTGAGAACGTCTCTGCGAGTGACAATTCAATTTTAATTTTAACTCTCACAAACATTAATTTTACAGGTGTCAAAAAAAATAGATTACCTATAAATATGTACAAATTACATATAGAAGGTGATAAATAGCATTAATGAAATAATTTACAATTGTAATCAACAATGATTTAGATAAACATATACAGGCAAAAACTAACGATAGA